CCAGGGGAGACACCGGGCTCTGAACCACCGTTCAGATGCCCATCACGTGTCGGCCTCTCTTGTCTCCATCCGCCCGGAGCTGACGGCTCTGTGCTCTGGATCCTGAATGAGGAAACTTGCCGGAGGCTCAGAGAGTGGTGCTCCAGGCCGTTCCTATTTCTCAGCATCTATTGTGCTTCTGGAGGAAGAACAGACGTATGACAATCCTCGCAGCTGCCCCGGATGAACACCGTTTCCACACGTATGCAAAGCTGTTGACGTGCCAGTGATGCTTACGCCCAGGCTGCAGCCCGGCCACTGGCCCAGCTCACCTGGCAGGTCGCAGCGGGGGCGGCTCCTTGTCACCAGGAGGCCCTGGCAGTCCCTGAGACCGCCCGCGGGGAAAGAGCGGGCAGTGCCCCCGTGATGGTCTTCGCAGTTCCATGAGGTCGCTGGCTCTCTTCCCATTTTCCAGATGGCCACACTGAGGCTCAGCGAATTGAAGTAACTTGCCCCCAATTCAGGCACCAGCACAGCTCCAGCATCTAAGGTGGGCCAGGTCCTGCTAGTGCGCGCTGTGGCGGGGACCCTGATCACAAGCACAAGTTCACGTGCGGTGAGTGGAACAGAAGGTCCACAGTTTCACCTAAAACCAGACGGCTCTGCACCACAGGTGCTGTTTTTCTTTAAAAAAAAACACACACAGCCGAAACCGGTTTGGCTCAGTGGATAGAGCGTCGGCTTGCGGACTGAAAGGTCCCGGGTTCGATTCCGGTCAAGGGCATGTACCTGGGTTGCGGGCACATCCCCAGTGGGAGATGTGCAGGAGGCAGCTGGTTGATGTTTCTCTCTCATCGATGTTTCTAGCTCTCTATCTCTCTCCCTTCCTCTCTGTAAAAAATCAATAAAATATATTTAAAAAAAAACAAAAAAACAAAAAACACACACAGTTACTGCTTTTTAAATCCCTTTAGGACTTAATGAAGCAGGTAGGGATAACCAAATGGCCAATCTGGAAGGACACTCAAAGGCCGGCCAGTCCAAACCCTCCTCTTGGGTGAGAAAGCGAGGTTCAGAGAAGGGGTGGCTCACCCACCGTCGCAGCGCAAGCCAAGTGCTTCAGACACCAGTGGGCTCACGCTACTTCAGGTCTCATTACCGGACACGCGTGCCCTACACTTTCAACGTTG